CAAATGAACCAAGGGAAGCAACTCCGTCTTACCACAAACTAACGGAATCCGGTTTTAAGGCCCCAAAAGTTCTAAACCACTACCTTAGCATACCCTATCCTAGATTCAACAGCAAATATTCTCAAAACATGCACACCAATTAAACATAGGAAAGCAAACATGCAAAGGCAAAATTACGAGATGTAGAATGTCCAAAGAAAAGATCTGAACAAGCAGGAAAAGAAAGAATAGCCTCAAAAATGTTTGATTTCTAATTTGAAAGAAAGAAAAGAACTAAAAAAATAAAAGAAAGTGAGAAAATTACAAGAAGGCAAGCAAATACAAGTAATACCCAATCCTCAAACAACTGGTCATTTGACTACAACGCCAATGACCCCAATTACACGCTAGGTATTACAAAGCAAACATCCTCGAACCATTCAACTTATCCTAAAGATAATCCTAAACTAAGTATCCAAGAAAAGAAAAAGAAGAGATATAGAAAGATCTCACCGGGCGCCAAATCTATGCTACATAATCAAGGTGTAAGAGCACCTTACGAATCGTTGAAATCCAAAGCTTAAGCAATAGAGCACGATGAGAAATAAAGAACTATATACAAAGAAAATTGTTAGTAACTTCCAAATAAAATAAAAGAAGAAAAGACAGAAATTAAAATAATGAAAATAAAGGAAAAGCAAGTAATGATAGCAACATGAGTAGTATCAAATAAGACATTAGACCGAAACTGTAACAGGAAACATGATATCAGATAATCATCTTCAGAAATCATCATAACAGAGATACAGAGAAACACATCAGACAGAATCAGCGAATCAAAAAACAAGGCCAAATAAAAAATCAGGCAGAAAAATCAATAGAAGCACAGCATCATCATCATAAAACCAAAGGACTAAAAGATCGACACCAGAAGCAGACGAGACCAGGAATGAACTACAAAAGCAAGGGGGAAAACAATAAAGCACAACAATCAAACGACATAAAACACCTCCAAGCTTAAAATAGGCCGCCCCCTAACTCTAAACCTAAAGACGAGTAAGCAATAGAGAGACATCATATAAAGCACATAGGAAGGGGGGGCCATGGTAGTATAATTCTGCACTATGGCAAGGGGTAGATGAGAACTCCCCTCATCAGTCTCCATTAAATGACTAGAGCATGCCATCTCACTCACCTCCATGGGAGCCTTACCCCTTAACCGATTTTCTCTCCTAATTCTATCAACCTCGAAATAATGAGACCAATCATCTAAGACCATATCACCCGACCTACCCCACCTACCAAAAGTCTCGGGGTCTGGAAAAGGCGAAGGATTAGCCGGATCATATGCATAATCACAACCACCGGGTCGCTTATAGTCGTAAGTGCCCAGGGTAGTGCCTGTGATAGAACTAGGGTGAATATGGGGGCCCTCCAATAACGGTAACAAAGTCTAGGACCCATAGTGGGATCAAAATGCTCCCACTGAGGGACAGGACCTTGTTGGACCGGGAGGTACGGATAATTGAAATAAGGTTCTATTTCCCCCCTCCAAACACGCAAATTATATTGTCGATACATATGGTAATCATAACCAAGGGAAGGGGGTTGTATAGTAGGCATGGAGTACAACACGTTAGCAATAGAATCAAGCTTGGCATGAATGGTTGACATATCAAATGTAGAAGAAGTGGGAGAGGGGGAAAGAATAGGTGTAACTCCCGGTTCAACCGGGGGAAGAGAATGAAGCATTCGATGAGCACGCATTGGTTGAATGACCTCTTGTACAATTTGTCCTTCGTCGGATAGAAGGATTAATATCTCGCACCAGGGGCCTCCAAGACAAGGAATCTCTTTCCTCGGGTCGAGTAGTTGCCTCCTTGCAAGGGATGAGGAACCATTCCTTATACCGGGAAACTTTCCAAATAAAAACATCATCCTTCCTAGTTCGATCGAGAAACTTTTGATTCACAAGGGCTGAGATGTTGAGGAAGTGAGAGGGAGACTTTTCTCGTGGATCATTAATTAGGAGAAGCTCATCTAACAAAGTCTTGTAGTCATTATTGATGCAAAGAGCTAGGATAGAAATCATCCCACCCAATTGGATGCACCCCGATAGGCAAACTCCATCACGAATATCCAAGAATCGAGAGATCAAATGCTCCGTGAAATTCACCGACTGAATCTCAAAGTCGTTTTGGTACTCTATCCACAACCAAAAAAGCTCCTCACGAGAGATAGCTCCCAAAGAGTCCATGGAGCAAAGAGCGTTTGTGAGGATTTGGTTGAAATACCGCATAGCCGGATAAATCATAGAAACGGACTTTGAAATTTGAGGGTCATACTTTCCTTCCTCCGAGATACTCCTCCACCAACGTTGCACATCATATCCATGATCACTTTTCATTCAACTATGAGCCGGATAGATACAATGATCCGGATCCTTGACCCAAGGAAACTTGAAATATGAACATAGTTGAGCATCCACCAATGAGTGATCATTGTTGAAGAGTTGGAAAGTCAAAATCTTTGAGTAATTTGCACTCGGTTCATGGACAACTTTAAGAAAAGAAAGGAATTCATAAGTCACCCTGGCATAAGTAGGGGAAGTCAAATCCAAAAACTCTAAAAGATCAAGGCCCACCGCATGAAGGCGAACATCCTCATCAATCCCTAGAAACTTGGTTGTTGATTGATCGTAGAATCTCGTTGGTCTAAGATTTCTCTTGAATAGACACTTGAAACAATCCCAATGTGATTCTTTTGAAAATTCAATGCCATAAGTTTCTTCAACCTCAGGTGGAGGTGGAACAACATACCTAGGCTTGCTTGAACTTGCTCTAGCTCGCTTCTTATGACGAAGTGTGGCCATCTACAAAGTATCAAGAATTAGCATAAGTAGTTGTTCAAGAACAAGCACAAAATGGAAATATCTCACAATAGAAGCAAGAGATGGTAACAAATGAACAATGCCATTAATAACATCATGAATATTAAGAAAATAAACATGGATTGAAGGCAAATTTAAACATAAGAAACCAAATCATGAGTCAAATTGCGCAAAATAAATCTTAAACATTGAATTATCAAAGATATGAAACTATCATAAAGAAAACCCATGAGAGAGAAAATAACCAACAATGGTTATTCAAGAATTCCATCAAAGTTTACACATTTATCATGAAGAAACTTCAATTCAATACTCAATGATATCATTCAACATAAATTTCAAGTTAAAAGAACTAACCATAGAGTTTCACCATGAAATCATAACAAGGGTTTAAGCATGAATCAAATAGGAAGAAGATAAATAGACAATAAGAAACCATACCTTAATGAAGACTTGGAATGCTTGTAAAATGCTCAAAATTAAGACGTAAGAACAAATAGAAATCCTAAAAAAAGCTCCAAACCTCAACACAAAACTTAAAATTTTTTAAAAAGTCCTAATTTTTTATTGAATTGGGGAAGAAAATCTGAAATTTTTGGGTTTTAGATTTGAAAACTTGATATTGACAATTGTAATTGAGGTTGAAATGATAGCAAATGAGGTGAAGCAGGTTTGATATTCCAAGAGGGTATAGGGTTTTAGGAGGGAAAATGAGAGAATTCAAAGAGTAGGGTGCGTTTTGGGGTTATAAGGGCTGAGCAGGTGCGTGCACGCAATAGAAGGTCGCGCCCGCTCCCGATAATCTCGCACCTGCAGGAGGATACCCACGCCCGCGGGTAATATTTGTTGTGCATGCACGCAGCCTGGTGCGTGCGCAGCACATGCAACTCGAGAAGGCTCTAAAAAGAGAAACACCCTTAATGATGCTTTCGTGTTTGCATTCTAACCATCCCTATCGAATGTCATGTTCAAGGACTCAAATATTTCATAAGAAAAAATCAAAAATATGTTTGAAAATGTATAAAAATCAATGGGAATGCAAACACGAAAACATATAACCTCAACGAACCCTTTCCTCTAAGCTTAACCAAACCTTATGAAATCTTGAAGTAGCACCAAAATTTTTGGAAATTTTCTCCGATCAAAACTCATGGTACCTAGGATCAAAAGAACAAACAAAAATAAAGAGAAATAAGAAAAGTTCTCAAAGGAGGAAGTATAGAAAATTGTAAAATCAAAGAAAAAGGTTAGAAAACCGGGTTGCCTCCCGGGTAGCGCTTTTGGTTAACGTCATTAGCTCGACGTCCTCCACCAATTAAGGTGGTTGTCGAAGAAACAGTGAATCAAAGAAACCAAAAAGAACATCATCAAAATACTTCATTAGACGATTGCTATTAGCCTTGAACGGAGAAAGAGAATCTTTCATTGAGATTTCTACAAAACCATTTAGAAAACCACTCTTGACCGAATTGGGACCACTTCATCTTGATCCCTTGATTCTAAGGTGTGATTGAAGAGGTTTGATCTCAACCATTGGTACACCCTTACCTTCCTTTGAAGTGGAGGCTTGCAAAGCTTCTTGGCTTGAGATATTCATGCACATATGCCCATCCACTTCCTCAATGCTTCCATTTAGCAAATCCTCATACATTGCCACTTCCTTGATAGGAGTACCTATCTTATCCTTATTCAAAAAGACATTCTCAAGAGGATCATTAGAAGTGAGCAAGTGCTCATGCATGGAAGATACAACAATATCAAGAGAATCGATCAACATGCAATTTTCTAAAGAAGAACATGGATACTTCATGCTTTCATTCAAGTCAAATCTAATAACCTCTTCTCCTACCTTGAGTGAAATTTTTGTACTCTTAACATCAATCATAGTACCCGAGGTAGCAAGAAAAGGTATACCAAGAATAATAGGAATGGTAGCATCTTCATCCATTTCAAGCACCAGAAAATCTACCGGAATTACAAACTTCCCTACTCTCAAAGGAACATCCTCAACCGTCCCCTTAGGAATCTTAATTGACCTATTGGCCAATTGCAAGGTAATCTTAGAAGGAATAAGTTCCCCTAACTCAAGTCTTTGATAAACCGATTATGGCATTATTAAGCTAACACTAGCTCATAAGTCACATAAGGCATTATCAATTTGCATCTTGTTAATGGCACAAGGGATAGAGAAGTTTCCGGGATCTTTCAACTTGGGTGGCATCTTGTTCATTATAATTGCACTACAATTCTCGGTCAAGTTGACCGTCTCCACCACATCACAAGACCTCCTACCACTCAAAATGTCTTTGAGAAATATTGCATAGTTGGGCATTTGGGTAACAACTTCGGTAAAAGGTAGAGAAAGATGAAGTTGCTTAATAATGTCAATAAATCTTCCAAATTGTTCATCTAACTTATGTATCATGAATTTTTGTGGATATGGAAGCTTGGGTTTCACAATTTATTTCTCCACTCTCACCTCTCTAGGTGTCTCAATCACAACCTCACTCAAAGATGCACTATTTCTCTCATCCTCTACCAAGGCCTCCTTAGTTCCACTCTTCCTAGGAAAACTCTCCTCAAGAACCTTACCACTTCTTTTAATAATATCATTCACGGGTATCTTGGGATCTAAGCCTTGGGAAGGTAAAGAAGAAGGACTAGCATGGTCTTTCAAAGCATTGGCATGTTGAGAAATTTGGTTTTCTAGCATCTTATTATGAGTCATCACCTCATTGAATTTCTTGTCACTTACGACCATGTAAGTGCTCAACAACTTTGTTTGATTTTCAATGATTTCCTCCAAATTAGTCCTAGAATAAGAGGATTGTGAATAGGAATTAAAAACTTGAGTCTTTGGAGCAAATCTGGGTGGAGGGCCTCTTTGAGCATTATTTTAAAAATTAACTCTCCCTTAATTGTTCCAACACTACAATTAATTGACCTTTGTGCCACGGGTAAAATCGTGGCACAAGTTTAAAATTCCTGTGGCTATGCAACATAGCCACGGGAATTTTGAAATTAACTCCCGTGGCATAAGTGACCGTGGCTAGGAATTTGCCTAGGGAAAACGAATGTGTTGAAATTATTAAAATTTATGCCACGGGTATTCACGTGGCAAACAAATACTCTTGCCACAATACTAACGTGGCTACCAAATTATTAGCCACAAATTATACTGTGGCTAATGAGTTTTGTCGGCACAAATATTACTGTGGCTAATTAGTTTTTTTGCCACTAATACTATCATGGTTAAATAAACCTATTGCCACAATTGCTACCGTGTCAAATAAACTTTGTTCCTACAAATATTGTCCTGACTAAAATAAAGTTAAAGGCACTAGGTCAAAATCAGTGACCTAATTACTTTAGACAGTTTTTTTTTCTAGTGCCTTTTATGCCTTTTTTTCTTTCAATTTGAACAACAAATAATACATAAAACTTATATATTTTCATTAATAACTTGGTAAATTACACTTTTCAACCAAAAAAACAAAATTGAAAAATAATTACAATAAAAGTACAATATAATTAGAGCAGCAACACTTAGAAGAAGCAACAACAACTTCCAGCAACTAGTTTAATCTTCATAGAGCAGTCTTCAGATCCAAAGGCTTCATCTTTAAGCATAACTTCTTGAAAATGATTATGTCTGCCAATGAAATTTAAGATAGAAGCAAGAACCACAAATAGAGTACAAGACTATTCAAAACTATGAGAGTTTATAAAATGCATTATGGAGTTATAACTCACATCAATCTTTGCCTCAAAAGCTAGGTCAAATGTCAAAAGAGCTAGCTTCAAATCCATGAGATCATAATCACTAATTTCTTTTATCTTCTGCATTACAAAACAATACTCTATTTTCAGCTTATCATTTCATACAATAAATCGATAACTCTTAACTATGTTATACAAAGCACATTAATACATTATAGCCATGATCAAAGTTATTAACAAGAAGCCATCAACTTCCTATGGACCTTAATAAAGAAAGAAAATCAAACATTTTATGATAGTTGAATTAGATCTCCGTATAGTTAGGCAAAACACTCTAATCATCTAGGACAACAAAATTTATGCAATGCTTCATAAATCATAACTAACGGAAATCCAACTTGGACAATACAAAAAATATATATGTATATATATAAACAAAGAATTCAATTAACTCTTTCCTAACTCATAAATAACTAATTAATTATAAGCATGCTATGGACCAACATACATAATTAACTCACCCTAATAAGAAACAACTCCATAGTTATGAAATCAGATTAGGGAACTTCACCATCCAGTTCACTAGAAATGTGAGCATATCCTTAAATTAGTCGCAAAAAAAAAAAAAAAAAAAAAAAAAACAAAAAAAGGTTGAATATCGAAATTCAGAAACAGCCTTGGTACTTGCAGAATAAAAAAATTCAACAGTAAACAAATGCTTCCTAGTCCATATTAGAAGCTGCATACCTGACATTAAAATAAGGTGAAGTGTTTGAAAACTATCATCCTACTCTAGCAAGAGATTCAACAAAGACTAGATCATAATGGTTTATTTAAGGGGATTCCACAAGAAAAAAAAAATTGTGTCAATGAACCTCTGAGTAATCTTTTTAGATCATGATGTCAAGGCTGACAAACCCCGAACTGTAAAGTGGTTTCTGTAAGAAAACAAGGCACCAAAAATGATACAAGGAAAGGAGATTGGCATGTTTAAAACAATAATACATGGGGAGAAGAATCTAATTGAATATGTTGTATCCCAGTCCAATCAAACATAATACATAATTTTCAATTTTTGCTTTAACTATTTTAACAGTAAGTGAGCCAATTGATTAAAATAGAGATAATAATGTAATATTGTGAAATTATTAACCATCTAACTAAAATTGATTAATTTCTATAAACTTAAGTGTTGATTACAACTCTTGCTTAAAATCAATGCACAAACATGTTACAATAAACCAAGAAATGAAAATGTGTCAATTTCTTGTTTTGGATAGATTATTTTCAATTAGATACTATAAGAACATATAGAAAACTATCATGATGTATAGAAATATATATTTATGTGTGACATTCTTGCTTAAAGGAGTAACAAAATTGATCATATATAAGTAAAAGTTGATAGAAGCAACTTTGATATCATACTCATAATATATAAACATGCCAGACTAAAATCTCTAACGAAATTGAAAGATTAAGAACCGTACAGTTCATTATAACCTTCCCATTTATAAGGTCTTCATCCTTGTGTCACTTGAGTTGGTTAGCAAATCATGCTAACAAAGCCCATTTTAATTCATAATTAGTTGTACAATTTGGTTTTTTCTGTACACATACAATGGCAATGTTACTATTCTCGGTAATGATTACAATGCAAACATATGAGATATGCTTACTAATATCAAGCTATATTTGGCTTCCCTTACTATGTACATCTTAAAGGCTATTTTAACTACTGCATAACGGCATAAGGAACATTATGTCGTGAGCTATGAAAATAACTTTATATTTTCAAACATGTTTACACTACTCTTATTGAGATCAGACACACAAAGAATTTTATTTCTTCTTCTAAATTCTTTTGTATGATCAATTAATTTATCAACAAAATTCAACTTAAATTAATTAAATGCTCAAACCAACCCAAATCTAAAAATTTGAAATTTCCAATATCTATCAAATATATGACCTCTGTTTATGAAATATCAATATAGATAATTTATAGAACACCCAAATAAAATTTATATTTGCTTATTCATAATCGGATTATTAAACAGGGTAGAATAAGAATCAAGAACTATACCTTAAAAAGAAATTTGTGGGCCAAGAAATCCCACACGAAACCAAATCAAACATAAAAAATACAATACATTGTTTGTAGTAAAGTCCAATCCTTCAAATTAAACAACAAACGCATTAAATTGAATTACCGTGAAAATCGAAATGATTAAGAACAAACTCAATTTCGAAATATGAAAATACGAGATTCTAGGCTAATTAGTTCTTAAGATGAAGGATTAGGAGAATTGCAGTGCTCGAAAGAAGAAATTGGAGAATTAAATGGAAGAAGAAGAATCGAGATAATGAAAAGAGGAACTAGGGTTTAATTTAGTATAAATTTGTAACGAACACTAAATGAGTGAGGGTGTGAACGTAATGTCGGCATTTTTTATTTGTTTCATTTTAATACCAGCATAATTCCCTCCATTCCCCCAGTTAGTTCTTTTTCAATTAGTTCTTTTTGTTTTATATTTTTAGTTCTCTTATACGAAGTACTTTGTATCCCTTTTTTGAAGAAAAAAAAGGTACTTTGTATCCCTATTTTTTTTAAGTGAATCAACTTGATCGATATTAAATTTTAGAAAGATATGTTGCATAATTTAAAATGTTTGTGTCATACAAGGATAAATATATACGAAGTAATTTTTGTAAAAAAATACGGGAAAAAGTAAAAACAAAATAAAGTGGTGCACTTTTAAAGTGGAGAGAGTATTTATTTTATAATTGCAATTAACGATTTTGATTGGAGCAAAGTTTTTCCTTGTAATATAAGTTTAAGTTAAATTATTTTCAAATTTAAAACTCATCTTTTTATTAATAAAATGTACTTATTAATTATAGTTTAGACTAAAAGAGCTCAACATTTGACCTTAATTTAGTCATGCAACATATTGTTTGTACATACTCCTTCCGTTTGTTAATAACTTTCCCATTTTAAAATCTTTGATTACTAGAATAAAAAATAAGAGAAAATTAAACCTTCTTAATTGTTCATAATATATAAGAAACAAAAATTTCACATGGAGTTTAGTTTATTCGTCTAGGCAAATACATTGTTATAATTTATTTTTATAATTCTTAGCAAAGGTTATCGTACACTACAATTTCATTTTTACCGTAGCATACGTAAATCTATCAACAAAAAGTTTATATTGTGGTATAATTATAAGTTTGTCACGGTAAAATTATTACCCGTGGCACAAGAGTAGGTTTGCCACAGTAAAAGAACTACTTGTGGCATAAGTATTATATTTGCCACGGGATAATAAATACTCGTGGCATAAATGTTTCTTCTTCAATAGGTTTTATGTGTAATTAATTTTTCCCGTGGCTAAGTGGAATTATGCCACGAATTTTAAATTTTCGTGGCATAATTCGTGGCACAAGTGATGATATGTTGTAGTGCAATTGCCCCTATTTTGATTTTGACCATAACCTTGATTATGGTTACCACCACCTTGATTATAATTTCCATAACCTTGGTTTTTATTACCATATTTTTGGTTTTGATTTTGGCCAGTATAACCTTGATTGTTATAGTTACATCGAGAACCTTGTTTCCCTTAGCTCCTATAACCACCACCTTGGTTATAGTTGTCAAAATTACCATGGTTTTGGTAATTCCTATTCCATTGACCCCTGTGGTTATCAAACCTTTGCACATTATTATTGTTTGCCACATAGTTCACATGTTCACTCTCATTATTGTCAAAATCATCATTACTCTCCGGAAAAGCATGAGGACAATTACTAGAATCATGATCATATTAGCCACACACATCACAAAACAAACAACCACTGGGTATGTTACTAGAAGAACGAGGGGGATGAGAGTTAGAAGGAGTACCTCTTCCCTTAAATTAGGAGGGAAGACTTGGAGCTTTGGAAGAAGAACTCTCCAATTTTTCCTTGATTGCACTCACTTCCTTCCCCAAGTTTGCCATTTGTGAGGAGAGATTGTTGATTGCATTTAAATGA